AACTCTATGTTTTCTTCTCAGGGTGTCTTTTATGAATAATCAAAAGCAGCAAAAGCCAACGCTTACCGGCCAGCGTTTCAAAACGAGGAAAAGAGGTCAGTGTTCATTGTTGCTGCATTTTGTTTTTCTCTGCTTTTGTGTGCCTAATTGTGTGCATAATTCTTTCCTTGTCCCTGGGGGCTTTTTTTTTTCCTCCACAGATGAAAAGGAGAGATTTGACCCTACTCAGTTTCAAGAAAGTATCGTACAAGGCTTGAATCAAACTGGCACTGATTTGGAAGCGGTTGCGAAGTTCCTTGATGCCACTGGCGCCAAGCTTGACTACCGCCGCTATGCAGAGACACTCTTTGACATCCTGGTGGCTGGCGGGATGCTGGGTGAGTTCCCATAATAAACAATTACTAACATGTGTGCGCAAGTTATCTGGTATCTGTTAAGGCATTGAATAATTTGAATAAGCAGACATCATGTTTCTAATTTGGCTAGAAGGTTAATTTAACAAGTAGTATTGATATGAATTTGAAGTAACAGAATAAAAAGTGCAAAAAATGTAATGTATGTCAGCTGATATATCTGTTTGGAGATTCTTCACTCCATAATATTGATATCTTTCCCAATATAATCCACATTGGTCAGGAATTATAAATGTTTCTATGCTTTTTTGTTTATTATCACATTAAGAACATATTTATTCTTGAAATGAGTATTAAAAAGCACATTAAAAAACATTCATATAAATGTGATGTTTGCAGGAAGTTGAGTCCATGCAGTTACTTATTATTTTTGATTTGAGATTTTTATTTTCATCCCTACAGCCCCAGGTGGGACTTTATCTGACGACATGACCCGCACTGAGTTCTGCCTCTTCACGGCACAAGAAGACCTGGAGACGATGCAAGCATATGCTCAGGTGAAGAGCAGCTACTGTTTGTACAGATCCGTAGAATTTAACGGGACACGTCTTGCACATGTAAGAGCTTTTCATCAGTGTTTCTTTTCTTAATCAAAATAGGTTTTTAACAAGCTGATCAGGCGTTACAAGTACCTGGAGAAGGGTTTCGAAGAGGAGATCAAGAAGGTGAGGATTTCAGACTGCTCTCAAACATCCTATTTAAACTAAGCTCATAATGTGTAGTTTAGTTGGACACTTCAATGCAGGGTGGGGTGTGTGCGTTAATATGCACAGTTTAGAAGGCAACAGTTTTTATAGGCGAGGAACTGTGACATGAGACACGACGGGGAACTTGTATAGAAACCTGTTCAATCTAATTATGTATAGATATGATAAAATTGTGTCTATTAATGTTTCTTACTTTTATTCAATCAGATGTGAATTTACTATTTTCAAGCTCAACTTATCTTCTAGTGCTTTGAGAAAACAATGACATGTTTTAAAGATTGTTTGGAGTCTGCAAAATAAATAACTGTTCAGGGACAGTAAAAAGTAAAGTATCGCTTCTCCTGTAGGGACATAAACCATCAGAAGTTTCACAACGTCTGTAACAAAATAAACCTGTATATTTTTCTGTGCCTGTAGTTGCTGCTGTTTCTAAAGGGGTTTACTGAGTCTGAGCGCAACAAACTGGCCATGCTCACTGGTATCCTGCTGGCCAACGGCAACATATCAGCCTCCATCCTGAACAGCCTCTTCAACGAGAACCTCGTCAAAGAAGGTGAGGACAAAAACTGGACATTTTCTTGTTACAAATGTTTCTCTCTTAGATTTCAAGTTTTTCTTCTTCTTCCCTGTCTGTAGTCTGTATTCAATCAAGAGTATTGCGGCAATACAATTTCTCTTCTCTCTGCTTAGGAGTATCTGCAGCCTTTGCTGTCAAGCTGTTCAAATCATGGATCAATGAGAAGGACATCAACTCTGTTGCCGGCAGTCTCCGCAAAGTCGGCATGGACAACAGACTGATGGTAGATTAACTGTTACAAATCCAAAATGGCTGTTAAATTGTCTGCTGTATGTTAAAGTGTGGAATTAATCCCACTGAGCAAAACAACATTTGACTCACCGTATTTGTATTAGTTAACTTCACTTTAAAAATAACTCTGGCCCACAGGAACTCTTTCCTGCCAACAAACGGAGCTGCGAGCATTTTTCTAAGTACTTCACTGACGCGGGGCTGAAGGAGCTATCTGACTTCGCCCGAAACCAGCAATCCATTGGCGCCCGCAAGGAGCTGCAGAAGGAGCTCCAGGAGATGATGTCACACGGTGAACCTCAGAAGGAGGTGAGGTGGTTTAAGGGTCGAGATTAACCCCTAATAGTTCTGTTAACAGTACTGATGTGGACAATAAGAAGCCTGTATTTACATCCTGATTTGTGTTGTGTGTTCAAATTCCTGACATATATAGATGATACCTAATGTCCTATTTCTTCCTACTTCAACAGCAAAGATATCGGGAAATAGTCCATGTTGAACACAATGACAATGCAGTGAAGCCGCTCATAGTCTGTTCCCTTCATAACGTCTTTCAGTTGATGCAGTTTGAAAGTTTTGTTTCTCTTTATTAACAGACTCTTCTTGTTTCCGACTTTGCCACGTCGCATAGTTTTGTGTTTGACTGACAGCCCAGCACCTCGGGCATTAACTAGTGAACAGAATGATGGCAGTGTCGGTGAAATGAGTCATGAAGCTGACGACAAGTTAACAGTCTCAGTGTTAATAGAGGCGCAACAGTAAAACTTTAAGTGCAAGTTGTCAAGTTGGGCAACAAGAACACAGCTGCCAAGTTGGAGCTGTCTGTACAAATCCTTATTACTGAGCAACTTCAAGCTGTAATGGACTATGAATAAAACACAATTATTAAAATCCTGTTTCCTAAAGGGAGGGTTGGGAACCTCCAGCAGTCATCTCTGTTACTGCAATATTCAGACCTTCTGACTGTAAGGCCACGAGAAGGAGAAGCATGGTGTTGTGTTTTCAATAAAGGGGGGAGCTAACAGTTGAGACAAGTGCGAGGAGTCTTGTTGCTGCGCTGACCCATCAGTGTTTGTTTCCCTGTCGGTTCAGATAATCGCCTTCACCAAGGAAGAGATGAAAAAGGCCGGCCTCTCTGAGCAGGCGATGATCAGCATGATCTGGTCCAGTGTGATGAACTCTGTGGAGTGGAACAAGAAGGAGGAGTTGGTGACCGAACAAGCCATCAAACACTTGAAGGTACGACACCTTTTAAACACACAACCTGAAAATATATTGTTTAACGGTTCACTGTGTGGGACTTGATGGCATCTAGTGTTAAGGTTGCATGTTGCAACACACTTGATGCCCCTAGTCCCACGCCCTCTTCAAACGTGTAGGAACATCTAAGCTGACCCGGTTTGTCCTCTCTGTCAGAATGTGTTTACCTCACCCTTACTGCAACAAGTGTGAGACTATTGGATTGTTCTATAATAGAACTGAGCAAAATCTTGAAGCTGTCCTGAAGTAGAGCTGAGTGCAGAAACCTGTACAAACCTGTATTGCTGCTCTGGTAGACGTTGTACTGTTTGTGATATCAGAAGGGGGAATAAGAACAAGCTCTGTGTTAGTTGCAAACCTGAAGAACATGCTGTTGCTTGATGTCAAGTCTTAATCTTGCCATAAATTGATTTTTCTTTCCTCATTCTTATCCATGTCTCGTATTCTCACAGCAATACAGCCCTCTGCTGAAAGCCTTCACCTCCCAGGGCCTGTCTGAGCTCAGCCTGCTGCTGAAGATTCAGGAGTACTGTTACGACAACATCCACTTCATGAAGGCCTTTCAAAAGATTGTGGTGCTCCTCTACAAAGGTATGTGTCACATCCATAGAGGGACACAGGTTAAATAGATAAAACAACCTTGAAAGTCGCTCTGTGAACTTGTCTTTAAACTCAGATTCAGCTTCTGGTTAGTTACAGATTTCTGAAACGAACCTATTTATTGATAAACCTTCAATCTGAAAAACAAGAGAAGGCAGCAGTTGATTGTAATTCTCACTCATATTGTGCTTATGCTGAAGGTAGTGTTTGCACAGCTTTGACACTTGTCACTTCTTCCCCTCGCAGCCGACGTACTGAGTGAAGAGGCCATACTGAAGTGGTACAGCGAAGCCCACCTTGCCAAGGGCAAGAGTGTTTTCCTCGAGCAGATGAAAAAATTCGTTGAGTGGCTAAAGAACGCCGAGGAAGGTAAAAAAAACAACACACCTCCAGCCTGGGGCTTTTTCTTTTCCGTCACATAATTTGACTTGTCACAGAAGGAATATCACAGGTAGAGCTGTTGTTCATAATCGTCTCCTGACCTAAGTGTCAGGGAGCAAGTACACACAAGATTATGGAATTGGATTACGGAAAGTTATCGTCGGGTTGAGCTACACAGGTCTAACTCTGAGTTATATTAATCATCATGTAATGTTCTTGTCGATTGGCACGTTTACATCGATGCCAATATTCTGACATTAACCCATATTACTCAAGACAATAATCTGAATAAGACTCTGTCATGTAAGCAGCATTTTTGTTTGTTTTTTAATATCACCATGTTTAGGGCTTGATCCCTAAACCTTCAGCTTTCTGACCATTGCCAACCTGAATAAGGTCATTCTTTGAATAAGCAAGAATAAAATGAAGGCCTGTGACAGTTACTAGCTGTTGCATTCCCTGGGTAGTAGGGGGTCATGTTGACGTGTCGCCCTGTCTACCGGGCATCAAAACAGGAAGTGGTAAAGCCTGCCTCTTGCTTGATTTGATCGGCTGCCTGGGCCAAGTGTGACTTCGATGAGCACCGACTCCACCCCTTGAAAAGTAGAAAATATTTTAACTTTCTCGTGTGTCTAAAATGGCTTGAAAAAGGTGACTCATCAGAATAAGTTCAGCAGTCAGGATATTGCTGTACATAGTTGTCTGAGAAAACGTGTTTAATTTGGTTGGAAATTTCGATTAACTCTGTTTCTCATGTTTTCTGTCCAGAGTCTGAATCGGAGGAAGAGGAGGCGGACTAAGACCTCTATTGCCAGATGAGCTTTTTTTTTCCCCAAGTAGCAGCAGGAGCAGTAGAATGTCTTTTCCCTTCTTTCTCTTCTACCTCCTGTTACTTCTTTATCCCCAAACACACTCATGCACCCTTCCACCACTCGATCGCATCTAAAGGTTATTTAAACAAAATATTGTTTTTCAACCTGGTGGTGTGGCTCACGGTGGAAGTGGAAAACTAAGGATTCTCCCGTCTTTATTATTATAATCTTGGTATTGTTGTTATGCCTTCTGTAATTTGGATACAAAACATTCCATGCGATATCAGCGGCCGCAGCTCGTACCAATCTGAACTAGAATTTGGTCGAATTCAAGTTTGCCTATTTGCCAATGCGACTACGAGGCATAGGAAATGTTGATGTGACTCAACAGCCAAAGTTTTTCCCCTCTTCTCCTTTTTATGCTTTATTTTGCCCCAAACAAGTTTTGGCTCTCCTGTTTGGTCTTAAACTCCGCCTTCTTTCTTGACTTTTGGGTAAACTTGTAACGCGTGTCGAGGTCATTCTGGTCAGTCCGTCAGACGACACGCACCCCTGTAAGATGCCTCGCCAGCTAACTGATAATTATTGGTTTCTACTTTCTTTAATCTGATATAAACCAATTTGACTTTTTTATGAAATAAAGATTATTGAAATGCTTCTTATTGTGTTATGACATTTTTATAGATGATGTAAAGGGCAGAACTTTACTCAAAACCGTGGTATTTGTTTATGTTCAATTCCAAAGCCCACATGAAACTAGAATTTCTCGACATGGCTTGAAAAAGCCTTGAAAAATCTGATGACCCTAGTAAATTCCAAATTTGTCCATTTCTGGCTGTTGACTTCTGCGTTACATTTTCTCAATACACTTAGTTGACATGAACTGCACTTTAAAAGCATTTGTATACACTGAATAAGGAAGACCGTATATCATTTTCCTGTTTATTGTACAAAAATACATTTATCTTCAAGCAGCTTCTCAGTGTTTTTTGATGTGCAAAGGACAAACGTCAGGTATTCAAGTACATTTTCATACAGTCATGTTACACATTAGATTTAGAGGTAGGCCTTCATATTTTAAAAACAGGTCTGAGGTAGCATGCAACATTTCCCTGTGATAGTTTTTATCCACATTTGCTTTATACTGTAGGGATCTAGTTAATTGTAAAAGGATTTTGTTGATATAAGTGCAAAAGGCACCCAAATGCACTCTGCATGTCAGGACATCCCACATTCATGTGCGCACAAAACAAAAAGTTTTGTGTTTTCAAAGTGATACAGAAATTGTGCAAGAATGCAAAAGTAAACATTTTACCACACTGCAAATATATTTAGCTTAATATTTCATCTTTAATTTTAGATGAGTTAAAGGTTAAATTATGGGTGCCAAGTGGTGCACTCCAACTTCGATCTCACGGTCACATTTCCTAACTCTAACCAATAAATAATATGTGTATGTTTGTTAAGTCTTGGGATTCTCACTGTGTTTTTATTTCACAGATAGGACTTATATAATCAAGTCAGTGAGTATCCATAGCAACAACATACACACGCAGAGGAGAGGGCTCCTCTTTATATTTAGTGATTTTGATTTTTTTTTTTTCCACGCTCTGATTTAGTCCAGTGGTTCAATCACTTGCCCAGTGACGCAATGTCAAGAGTTCAAGACAGAGAGGACAGGAGCTTTTCGTTTTTTTTCTCACTATCTCTCTCTCTCAGGGTCTCTCCTTCCTCTTAAACTGCTACAGTCTCTCTCTCTCACCTGGATCATGTTATCAAAATGCAGCTTTTATACATGTCTTTCTCTCTCACTGTCTCACTCTCTCTCTCAGGGTCTCTCCTTCCTCTTAAACTGCTACAGTCTCTCTCTCTCACCTGGATCATGTTATCAAAATGCAGCTTTTATACATGTCTTTCTCTCTCACTGTCTCTCTCTCTCTAGGGTCTCTCTCCTTCCTCTTAAACGAAATGTCTCTCTGTGGAGCCGGCAGCAAGCACAAGGCCCCCATACAAAATTTCCCCTGGAGGAATTTTCTAGTTTCAGTTTTAACCACTGTCGAAAGTTTGCCCTCTGCAGGTGAAATGGAAAACTGTATTATGCCTACACATAAAAAAACTTTTTCTTTATCATTTTCATGATGTAATTGTTTTATTTATAACGTTACTGAAAAGAGATGTAAGTCACACAAGACTAATTTTATCAAATACCCCTGATGAAAGAAAAACTAAATTTATCCCACACTTACTTTAGATTTATTAAAAATTAAACTCACCAGTTTTTTCCTTGTGTTGTGCCTAAAATTGTCCGTTTTGTCTGAGCAGTTAGACACACAACTGCGACAAATTTGTTGTGTTTCCAGAAAACAAATGATGCGACCCCTTGTTTTATGGTGTGTTGTAAGAATCTCTGCAGATGTGTTTACGGTAGCACTTTTCTGATTCCTGAGTTGTTCGTATGTTACATTTTATCATGCAGAGATAGCCTGAATTCCCCACTCTTCTCTACTAGTGGCGATCGATGAGTTAATGCCCCTTTAAACAGGGCCCCCTGCGTAATTGCGATATTTCAGACAGCACTTGAAGGCAGCATCAGCTCAACTGACAGCAACCACTGCACTAGCAGCTTCTTTTTTACTGTCCTTCATGTGACTGTAGGCATCAAGGTAGTTTTTTTAGGATTCGGACATGGCGTGGGGGGGTTAGTACTATTTTTGGGACCCCCCCCTCCTCCTCATCAGGTGCAGCTTTACACACTGGCTCAAGTTACAGCTCAACCAAAACATAACGTTTCCAGAGGCAGACTGACGTGAACAGAAAGTGCTTCTTCAGTGTTTGTCGTGTCTGTGGTGTTCTAATCTAATCCAAATATAAACACATTATTTATATATGTACAAAGTCCTACAGGTGCGTCTATACGCCACATGTCTACATGTAAACAAACTTCACGATGAGCTACTTCTCGTCTGTCCGCAGTCGCTTTGCTTCACACAGCTGCTGAGTGCTTCCCTCCATCTCTGAGCTGTGGAAGCAAAGAAACAACACTTTTAAGCATTGTGACATGTAACCTACCAATGTCCCCTTCAATTTAATATTTCTCTTATTAGTGAGATTCAGATGTTTCAGGAATCATCACAGTTACACAGAAACAAGGCAGTTTCAAAACTAGTGCACTTAAATTTTAAGAAATGTCTTAATAAGATGAATTAAATTTGTCCAGAGTGCAAGAAAACATTGGAATTGTGGCTGATGTGACAGAGAAAATACAATTTAACAAATTTAACAGCAGTGTTGAGTCACAAGCACCACACCAATCCACTGCTATTCTTTCACCCAGTATTGTTTTATTATTGTTAATTCAACATTAACACTTCTTTTTCATTGGTTTTAATACACGTTATAACCTTTATTTTCATTCAGCAAACACTTTCATTAGTATTAGTATTTGTATTGAGTTAGTATGTTATAGTATACTGATGTAAGGACCACACATGAGCTAAACCCTAAATAAGTTAACTGTATAAATAAAACTCATTATTTCTAACCATATATTTTATTTTGAGGAGGGATCCAGACTTTCATCTAGAACAACATTGAGTTTAGGTTAAACTGATGACCCAGGCTGCACAACACATTTACTTTAAAGCCCTGAACGCACCACAGCATGTTTTCATTTTGTGTTGTCAATCACTGGAGCAGCAGCTGCCACTTTAGTGGATCCAAATAATATTTGAACCTCATGCAAACCCAGCATTTTAAATCGTATTTCCAATATAAAGACAATGAAGCATCATTGAGTCTACTTATAGAACAATATTTCCTGAATGTTGTGACTTTGGAACAAATACTTTACGCACGACCTTTCTTTTCTGTTCATGCGTAAAGAATCTTTTACGCACGACCTTTCTGTTCTGTTCATGCGTAAAAGTCAACACCTGAGCAGTTCTGTGGTGCAGTAGAGTGTCTGTTGAATGTTTACTAACCAGTTTCCTCTGGTTGCTGAGGCAGAAAGTGCAGATAGGGCGCAGGGAGGGCGCACTGAGCGCGGCGGGGCCGTGCAGGATGCTCTGGTAGCGGAGGCAGGGCTGTCCGTCCCGGCAGTCCTCCCCCAGCAGCAGCACGTTAGCCAGGTGGGAGATGTAGCTGGAGGCCAGGCGCAACGTCTCGATCTTGGAGAGCTTCCTGTCGGCAGGCTCGGTGGGAATGAGCGTGCGCAGCGCAGTGAAGGCCGTGTTCACGCTGTGCGTCCTGTCCCGCTCCCGCGCGTTGGCCGCCTGCCTTTGCTTGGTCGCTCCGGGCAGACTCGTTTCCCCGCCGCCTCTTCCACCTCCGCTGCTGCTCCGCCTTCGCCTCCTCCACCTCGGTGCACCTCCACCGGCCGCTCCCGCGTTCCCCTCAGCCTCCCCCGGCTCCCTGCGCGGGCTGCAGCAGCCGGTGGACTTCCCGTCGGAGTTGTCGCTGCTGCTGTCCAGGTCGTCCAGGTCAGAGGTGAAGCCGTCGGGCTGCGCGCTGCGCTCGCTGCCGGTGGACTTCATCCTGGTGCTGTTGTGGTCAGACTGGAGCTGCTGGGGCCGTGCGGGCGGGCGGCGGTTGCACATCACTTTATCCTGAGGGTGAAAATAGCACCCGGGGCCGAGCAGGTGCCGCCGATCCGGTGACCGAGGGGGTTTGAGGCGGCCGGCCCCCGGTGGATCGACATACCACTAGTAATGAATGACGGCTGCTTTTTAGGTCGCCAGCCCTCTGCAGAAGAGGGAAGACAGGTGGAGCCTGAGGGGGGACGCCTGTTGTGGCCTCGAGGACACTGAATTAGGCTCGATCGACATCGGGCTCCCCGCTGGGCCGATATCATTTATTTAATATCAAAACCAATAATCATTTTTTAATGAAAGATGTTAACTTGTGACTTTTTGAGATGGTGGCAAAGAGCCTGTAAGAGAGTGGGTGTTTATAAAATACAGAAAAGAGAATACAAGTCTGTCATATCTCTAATATGTATAGTCAAAAAACTATTCCACATACGACAGCAAAAGAACAATCATGTGCTTGAATTGATTTATTAAGATACATAATTGTTTGGGCATTAAAGTTATATGTTCTCTTGAAGTTAAATTCAATTACAACAGTTTGATTAAGACAGGTGTCACGTGCACTTGCAGCCTGCGTCATAAACGCGTCTTGATGATGTCACGGTTGCCGCGACTCCGGCATCCTGCGGTTACTCATCCCAACAACAGGTTTGATCTTTCACTGGATGGGTCATCGGTCCTCACCCTGCACGTCTGTTCTTGCTCTGTTTAACTTTGGCATACGATCTGAGAAGTGTGGCACTCACTGATGTCAAGAATCTCAGTTTGGGGAAATTATTTCCGCAGCAGCTCTTCTGGTTCAGGAGACTGGAGGATCATGGGTAATATCCACCGATTAGTTGTGTGTTTCAGTATGAGCTAGGTTTATTTTTTGCTTCTTTTTTTTTTTAATCACTTAATAGCTTAGACATGGAGCCCCACAGAACTATTCACCACATGTGGCTGCAGAGAGCGCTGTTGCTCAGTGAAAGTTTCTTAGTGTTGCTTTAAAGAAAATAAAACAACCGAGTACTTCAGAGTGAAGTAAAATTAGGGTTTTATTTCTGAAGGCCCTGATAGAAGTTAAACTACTGCGATCCGGAGCGAGGTGTTGTCGTCGTCTAATTGTAGTCAGGACACAAATCCACCTGTGCAGCATTTTCTGGACCTAATCTGATTTTTTTAGACGAGCTTGACATCTTCCTCAATTGAAACCTCTTTGATTATGTGCTGATGAACTTGATGGACACACTGTGAGCCACTGGTAACTAGTGTTTTCGTGTTGACGTCCAGAGTAAGGGTCACCCTGCGGCCTTGGCTGCCCGCTCTGAGCTTCCATTGAGTGAGTAGTCCAGGTGTACCCACCCGTCCCGTCCCGCTCTGTCTGTGCCCATCATGATGGACACATACAACCCCGGCCCCCCTCCTCTACCGTGCCCTCTTTGGGAGTGGATATAAATATCTGCAAGTGAACGATGCCTTGTGTGTATGAGCTGCTCACAGCAACCTTTAAGTCTTGTTGTCAATTTCATTTAAATCAAAATAGAAACATGACTTTAATTTAAATTAGTTGACATTGTTTTGTGAAGAAGTTTGGTACCATATCAACATTTCATACTTTAGGTTCAGTATTTTTATCTACTTGATATTATAACTACCGCCACCAGAGGGCAGTGAAACCATAATGATCATTTCTTTTAGGTTTGTGTTTTCCTGCTAAATATTGAACTGTGGGAGAGTCATGTCTCCATGCAGTAACTTAACAACCCAAACTGAAGATGTGTAGTAATTGCTCGAGGTCCAATGTCATCTACCTGCAAGACTATTCTTATTCATGTGCCAAAGAATCATACAGAGATCCAAGTGATGAACAAAAAGCATCCAGCTTCATCCTAATCTGTTACAAAAAAGTCAAATGGCTCTTTAGTTTTCAGCTGAGCTGAGGCAGGAGTCAGTGGGAGGCAGAGTGGAACCCTAATTGGCGCGGAGCTAATGTGGCCTCATTAATCTCTTAATCCTCATTTCCTCGTAGCCCCTGATGCTTTGACCCTCTGGCCATGAACTTGTCTGGCTCCTGCAGCAAAGTCAAATGCCTCTTCGCTGCTGCCCATATACAGCAAGTCCCAGAAAATCAAAAGGAGCTCGAGGAAAACTAAAAACATGTTATGGTGTCGCAGAAAGATTAGGAACAGCTGTTTGATAGCAGAAAATACAGATGTTAGGAGAGCTTTTGAACATTGTGTTATTGCCTCGTAATCTTTTATCAACTCTATGCCTTTTCAGGTGATCGAACACATCGTCCCCGACGTGACCCTGTTGGAGGTCGTTAGCTCTATGAACCGCCATTAACAAGGGATTATGGGTATAATCCCTGGTTCGTCTCAGGTTAAAATAAAACACAAACTGGTGAATCTGTACTGGGGGCACTTTTGAAATGTTTGTTTTTTACTTGCCGTCAATCTACGAGAGCTATTCTGTATTGAGAATGTATTGATTGCATCTACACGTGAACAAAACACCAAGGAAGCTATACCCTCAATATCTTCAAACATATTTGCAGCAATAGATACCATACCAGGATCTTTAATTTTTTTCTTGCAAAACAACCAATAAACACTGCTTTAATAAGAAATAACATAGATTATAAAGAGATTAGGATATATACAACAAGAAATATGCGACAGTATAAAACAACCAAATAAATAAATACTCATACAGAGGTTTGGAGAGTCGAACAGGAACCTGATGGAATTTACAGTAAAAAATAAAGTTTACAAGATGATAAGGATCTCCACTGCAGGTGATTATTGAGGAATAAAATATCAGCTGATCAATCCTGTATGATGACAAATACATTTTCTCACTGGCCTGTTTTAGGCCCGAAACTTTGAGCCTTGTTTTGTGAAGTTTACAGGATTTATAATTTAGACACTCAAGGTTTTTCTTTTGACGACGCATTGTGCTGACGGCTCCGGATCACCTCGTGGGTGCTCATCAGACTCCAGGAGTTCTGTCTTTGCTGCCAGAAAGTGGATCTCAACCTTGGGCGATTGGGAGCTGAAAAACAAAACAAGAATATGAGGTTGTGTACACAGACAGAAATCTTCTACATAACCTGTTTCTTTTTCTTCTCAGGAATGTATACATTAAACTGCTCTGCCAGCCAATTGCAAGTGGTAATGGTAAGTTTGAAAAGCACCTTGATACAGAAATACACTTTATATGAATACACAGGTGAGATAAATGTCTGCATGTTTGCACAGATAAAATGGTGTTTGCATTCTTCCTGCTCAACTTTCTTTGCTGGCCCTCATCATCTGTGATGGAATTGGATGCATTTTCACATGTTTCCATTTTTCCCTCATGTGCCGATCCTCTGACTCTCACATGTGTGAATCTCAGACCAGCTGGGAAAAATACCACAGTGAAAATATTCCTTTATAAAAACAACTTTGGATGCTTACCCTCCTGGAGCAAAGAGAGCCGGAGTATCCGCTCCGGCAGGCGCAGACATTTGGTTGCACACATCGACTTCCGTACAGACACTTTTGTTCACAGTGAGCTGAGAATTGGCAAAATGAAAACATAAATCAGGACGGGAACACAGTGAACCTGCACATCTCTTAGTCTCTGGATGACAACAACAGGAGCAAAACTTGGTTCAAAGCCATTATTTGTCGTACTGACAAACAATTTCAGAAATATCTGTGCATTCTTGTTGTCATACTCACGGATCTGGCACAGCATGCCTTGCCACCCGGGGGTGCAGTGGCACGTGTTGGGACCCACACACTCTCCTCCGTTCAAACACTTCTGCAGACAGCTGGCTGGGAGGCAACACAAGAGTTAACCTTAGAGCTGTACTAACGCTTGAGGACTTAAAGACAGGATTTGACTTAATTTCACAGTCTGAATGTATTCATTATTATGATGCAGCAGCAGTAGATCCACACATAAGATCCTATATGTATAGGGTTTCATCTGCTTTGTGTTAGTCGGTCTGTTATTTAGCAGGATGATGCAAAAACTACAAAAACTAACTTGGCAGGTGAACACGAAACATGGAGGGATATTTTACAGGTCAGAAAAGAACCATATTTAATGTGGTGCGGAAAAGGGACTGATTTATGATTGCGTGCAATTCGGTGCGGATCCAAATAATAATCTGGATCCAGTGGATTTAAATGTGGTTTCGTAAGGGGACTGTTAGGCCTTGGCAGAAGAACGTGGAGTGTCCTTCAAGTAATGTATGTAAATATTTTAACCACTAGATCCACGACGTGCCCTGAAGCAAAGCTTTAATCCCTCACTTCCTCTGTTTTTTATTATCATCCTCAAATTCTGTGTTGTAATCAGCACTTCTCGCTGTTTATTTGTGTCGGAGGTTGTGTCCATCTCCTCTGTGAGGCCGCAGAATGAAAAGAAAAGCAACAACAGCAACGAAACATGTGTCAGTCAAACCAATTGTTGCATCAAAGTGGGTGTGGCCACTCGTGACCGTGAACACTGATGAGGGACAGGTGTGAACTGATGAACAAAGAAGTCCAGAAACGACAAACCTTCGAACAAAAGCTGCAGGTTTGAGCTTTAACAGATCATCTGTGGTCAACTCTCTTTCCCCCTCCTGATATTTGGATGTGTGTCTTTTCAGCCTCAGTTGAATATCACCGTGGAGTCTGACGGTCAGCCCCATAAAAGACTGCAGACATAAGAACTAATGGCTCCCATATGGGCAGCTCCTTTGTGGAAGCATCTGTCGGCCGAGCCTGGAGGGTTCAGACGTTCACAGACCTGGACAGTGTCACTTTACCTGCCTCTGTTTCAGCTTGGTGAGTTTTACTGTGACGTGATAAAAAGGTTTGACGGTCAAAATTCAGAATCCCGATCAATTTCTGATATGGAATCTATTTCGAGATATGTATATTTTAGAGTCATCCAGATAAGTCAGTCGAAAGAAAAAACGACAACAAATTTGATAAATGATTATTGTGAACATGTTTAGCTTCTTAAATGTCAGGATTTGTTGCTTGTCTTTGTGTTTTACCTCCGTCAATGAGGTTGTGTTTTCATGTTCTTGGTAGTTTTTCTGGCAAAAACTACCAAACTGCTTTTCTTGAAACTTTTTGAGTAGATTCGATTAAGGAGGCACATCCAGGATTTATTTTTAATTTTCAACAACATGCTTGGCAAGTCTGTATTTCGTGTGTATGGTTGTTTGTTGGCTCTCACTAAACAATCAAGTGTTTGTGTTGATTTGGAATGACAGGACTATGTTGAGTTTGTAGAAGTCAGAAGTTCTCACTGTGAGCATCATGTTGTTCAGCACATAGTTGTGAATGTGACGAAGTTTTATCTGATTCTTGTATTCCTGCACTTACGTTTATCGCATCTCTTCCCTCTCCAACCGGACGGACAATCGCAAACATCTGGACCCACACACCTGCCGCCATTCATACACATGGGCTCACACACACCTGGAGAGGGAGAAGAGAGAAAGAATCGAACGCCTTAACAGGAGAGTTGAAGATCTTATCAAGCAAAGGAGCAGTTTTTGTCTAGTTTGGTCTCATCTTATGGAAGTAACTTAAGGAGGAAGTGTAGGATGGGAAAAAAGTAGGACATTGCAATGCCACAGGCAAGAAAAGGAGGAAGATGAATGTTTAGAGACAGATATTTAGATATTAAGAGAGGAAGAGGAGGTGTGGGAAGTCGTGCCAAAGCAAAAAGAGGAGAGGAATGATGTGGTCATACTTTTCTCGCAGCGCCTCCCGATGTATCCCTGCAGACAGGAGCAGACGTTGTTCCTCATACATATGCCACCATTTTTACAGGGAGGACTGCAGACGGCTGGAGGAGGAAACAAAATGTGCAAAAAAACATTTTTTATTTGACAAATGAATCTTGTACTGCCGTTAAAGTGACACTTTGATTGGCTGACTGAAGTTGACTTACCGTTCTGACACTGTGCTCCGTAGAAACCATGAGGACACTCGCAGATGTTGGGCCGGACGCACAAACCTCCGTTCAGGCAAACCGGAGAGCAGAGAGCTGGAGGAGAGAGAGCGAGAGAGGGAGAGTCAGCACTTAGAGGGTGGCACACACACACACACACACACACACAAACACACACACACACACACACACACAAACAAATAAATACACACTCACCAGTTTCACAGGATGGTCCGGTCCAGCCTGGTAGACACATACACTCATCTGGAGAAGCACACTGACCTCCATTGTGACAGTGGCGGCTACACACCACTATAATAAACAGAAACATAATAATTTCCTCGTTTCTCAAACATAAAAACTACAACTCCCACAAGCCTTTGCAAACATCATCTTTCTTTAGGTTGTAACTTTTCTCATTGACCTAATATGGAAACGGGGAAGTTGTATCGTGGCTGTAAACTCACTGGTTTCACATCGAGGTCCAACAAACCCATAAGGACAAGAACAAGTCTGCAGACCCACACAGGTGCCTCCGTTTTCACACGGTAACCTGCACAGAGCTGCACAGAAGGACCTCTGTTAGTTTATCAGTTATTTAACAGTTCAGTTCTAAGCTTAGTGTTGTGCCACCATAGTTATTGATAATAAATACAGTATATTATATATTTAGTGACATGAAATCAGAGTAACTGTAGGAGACTGGAAAATAACACTCACCTTCTTGGCAAGTTTCTCCATGAAAACCTCTCAGACATTGACAAACACCCGGAGCAATGCAGACGCCCCCGTTTATACACTCTGGATCACAGATTGCTGAGAGTACACAGAAAAAGCCCAAATTATATATGGATACATAAAGAAATGTACATGCAACTGCTTGAAATAATAATAAATCCAATAAATACCAGCCATTTATTTGTTTACCTGTCTGACAGTCAAATCCAGTAAAGCCCGGTTTGCAGCGGCACGTATTTGGCGCAGCACACGCCATGTTCCTACCACACGTATGCCTGCAAACAGCTTAAAACACACACAGGGGGCGCCACAGAGGTGTTATGCTTGTGCATGTCTTTTTCAAAAGATCTTTTAAAGTAATATTTTGAGTATAATATCAAAATGCCAGATTGATATTGGTGCTGATACCGATTAAAATTCAGTTTGATTTAGCTTCTTTGTCAATGTTACTATAATGCTAAAATTAAATAATTTTTAGTGCCACAACAATACTTCACGTTAAATGGAGATAATTGGTATCAGAACCATATTTTGTACTGGAATTGGTATTAGGAGAGAAAAAATCAAAAGTTGTTCATTGCAGGTAAATCAACTTTGGAAAAGGTAACACGAGTTTTGCACATTTCTCTGACATTTATAGATTATCATTACCTCGACAAACTTGTCCATCACCAGTGTATCCTACAGGACACCTCCCACAGCTGAAGCCACCATCCACAGCTGGTTCACACTGGACGCCAGGAAAGCATGGCATATTGGCGCAGGTCGTCACGTGTTTGCCAGTTGTTTGTCCGCTCCAAACACCTGGCTGTACTGAGGTTGCTCTCTGTAACGGGGAGCTGTAGCCCGTCTTGCCTGGTGTTGCGAAGGTCAATGCCTGGACCACCTGCGGCATCTCTGAGCCCTCAAGTCCAGACTCAGACTCGTCTCCGTCGGAAGAGAACTCGGTCTCGGACAGTGAGAAGGACAGAGCGGTTAGGGCCGCTGTCAGTGGCAGCACCGGTCTCGGACGGGTCCAGGGTTTGGCCTGGGTTGATGCCAGGTGGTTGAGCTGAGGCCTAGTTGCCTGTTTTGACTGCGTCACTTCACGAGTGGAGAAGTGTGGAGCTGCAGGAGTAACCCTAAAAGGTGTGACACCAGTCAGTGCTGCTGCAGCCTGCAGGGAGATGATTATTGAAAGAAGACAGGAAGGTTAAAGGATGCTTATGTCCTCACGCACATCTTCCTTCATGAATGACGGTGGCTGCGCGGTGTAGAAAAGTTTGACTCACCTGGGAGACAGTCACACGAGGAACCACGACCTCTCTGGAGGCAGCGATACGAGCTGTGGCATATGTCTTGGTGTCTGATCTGGGGTTGGCACTTTGGCGAGTGTTTGTCGTGACATGGATGGCACCTGCTGATGTTTTTGTCACCTCTCTGGAAGCAGTGACTGCCTCTCTCCTCCCAGTGCCACCCCCCCTCCCGGACGCCGAAACCTGGCGTGGTGTATTATCTTGGTTTGGTCTTGTGAAGGTCAAGGAGGACAGGTGTTTGATACTGTGTCTGGTGGGCAGGTTGGGCAGGTGGAGCTGGGAGACTTTGCTGATGCTTCCATGCGAGGATCGGCTGGTTTTGCTGACTGTCTGCTGCTGAGGGAGGTGATTGGATGCTGAGGAAAGACAAGTGGCGTTAGAGCAGTTATTGTAACTGTATGTCCCATCTGCTAACATTGAGGAGGCAAGGTTTATGACTTGTACCCGCCACCAGGGGGCAATCAAGACACTTTGGCTTCACGTTTGAGGAGCTGTCATGTCCACCGTCTTTATACACTGTAGGTTGTATTCAAAGAAACTGGAAGGCGCAATAATAAAATGCAATAGTAGCTTGTTTTCAGAAAAGAACATGCACGCAATATTTCCTTGGATAAATAAAACATTACAAGCAAATCACAAGCACTGATTTCAATACTTTGGGAGAACTCTTCAAAACGGAATGATTTATGCGATTCATGTCTTGAGTCTCATCCGAAGAAACACTTTGTTCTGCTTTGTGACTTTCCAGACAAACTCAGTAAAGGGGTTTAAGTTAGAGTGACATTGTCTCTTCTGAGCTGTTATTTAACTTCCCTTGTGAGAAAGAAAACACTAAGCAATCTTCTTTTGAAGCTTTGCGGCCGGATGCGGATTCAAAAAGTAACCGAGGTGGTTATTACAACCAGGCAGGCTTTAACCACTCAAGCTGATTTATCTGCTGCTATAAAAAAACCATCCCTCATAACCAAAAGAAACACACACAAAGGAAAGCAACATCAATGAAAGACCAAAACATAAAATATAAATAAAATATATGATTTTGTGATTTACTGCCTGGTGTTCTCAAATTCAGGATATTTTTTTGTTTTCAGGTTAAAAACAAAAGCATGAATGATGAGAAATGGTTTCAATTACAAAACGATGCATTTGTCACAGGAATTGGTTAATTGTTGCTTGATAGTTGGAACTAAAATCAAAAAGAATCCCATACCTGCCTTAGCGTTCTTCATACAGACGCGCCCGTTGCCATAAAGCCCGGGCGGGCAGCGGCCACAGACGTACCCGACATGTGGCGGCCTGCGGTTGATACACTGAACCCCGGGAAAGCAGGGTCTGCTGGCACATGTCGCTGAAACGTTGACAGGCAGAAACGGAGCTGATCCTGGGGGAGAGAAATTGTGGTCAGTGTTTTACTGAGTCTTCATCAGAGTGTCTGTTAGCATTGAAGACGTTTTCCTATTATAGGGGATAAATGAGCAGGAAATATTCCATGCATGTTCCTAAAATGCCTCTGAACACCATCCATAGTTGAGGCAAAAGTATTTTACTAATCTTCTTCACACCAACAGGCATGTGCTGTTTTTAAATATGAAAAATCAAGTTTGACGGTGCGCTTACCTGGAGCTGATCTATCATCTCCTGTTGGTTGGGCCACAGTGGCTGTCTTGACTATTGTGCTGCTGATTTTGGGCTGATCAGTCTTGACTTGGTCCAGTGTAAATACTGAAGTGTTGTGAATAGTATCTGTGTTTGTCCTGGGAAGCTGGAAGTCAAGTCCTTGGTTTCTTTTCAAAGTGTCAGTCGTTGTTTGGGAGACACTTGATGTAATTGCTGTGATGCTCTTGTTGGCTGCTGCCTTAGTAAGACTTGGATTCAGGCTAATTCCTGGAGTGTTTCTCCAGGTGGTCTTGGCTTGTGATCGACCCAGGTCAATTCTTGGAATCGTCCTCCCCGCCTCAGCCCTCATCTGTGGGGAGCTTCCATTTGACGTCTTCCGAAAAGTGTCTGTCTTTATTCTGTGGAGTTGCAGAAGAACATCTGGTGTGTTGTAGACAGTCGTGCGGGGAGCAGATGTGGGAGTGATGGTGGCCGGCCTGGCGACTGCTGTATAAGGACATACACATATTTTTGATTGCCTCTATCAGATGCTCTTATCTGGAACAACATCCTATTCTATTTTAAGATCACCCACTTTTGCATGATCTAATTGCAAAGAAGTGAAGGATTGCACTCTGTGTGATGGTACAGTACACGAAAAGGTAAAAACCCTGGAAGGTAAACATGTTGCTTTTAATGAGACGCCCAGCAAGAGTTGGAAATTGGGATCGTGTTTGTGTAAAGATCACTAAATTCTACACACTGAACCTTTGAGGTTTTCTTTTGGTTGCTGTTGGTTTCAGTTGCTCCGCATCACACCAGTTGTGATGGGTTTTCCCACCACCAAGTTTGGTATTTATGTAATCCTGCCGATAAATTAAAAAAACAAACACAACGTGGTGGATGTAATAAATCAAACTGTCTAGCTCCCTCTGTCTGGTCATAACTTTGAATTTGAATTTATTTACTCGTGACTCGTGTGGTTTTGACAGTGAAAGAAACCCTCACCCCAGCTTGTTTCACATTCAGGACATTTAAGATTTAGGATCCAAATGGTAAAAAAACCTTTAAATGGCCCCTGACATGGGAAGTCAGGTCTCTTTAATACTGAATTGAAGAAGGAGGTGAAGTCATGTGAAGTACTTTGGCTCAGTTACTGAGGAGTAAGCAATAAAACAAAGGAAAGAGGAAATCCAAGGATCTGTCCTCATGAGTCCATAAAAATGACAAACAATTTGTAGTGACAGTGATTTATGCTGTGTGCTCTGCTGTGGGCCAACTTTTCCATTAGGGACAGTCATGCCTGTAATGTACACTGTGATTTGGATTGTTGTCCTGCTTAGATGCCAGGTTTTGAGATTGTTTGATTACTCAAAAGGTCTCAGTCTTTTTTAGGATGTTTTTGTTGACTAACCATCACATAGTTTACATACATACTTTAAAGCACCATTGCAGCTCATTAACATTGTTCTCCATGTCAAA